ATTCACCCATGGCTCAGATAAGGCAAGACAAGACTCTCCACCAGTAAAATAGTCTGAATTCACCTATGGCTCAGGATAGGTTAAAATGCTCAGCAATAAAGTAGTTTTACCTTAACCAAGAAAAGGTGGCAGATTATGAATGTTCTGTATAAATACCAAACAGAGAGAAATTCGGGCATACAAGTAATATCTGTAGAACTTTTTAACTGTTAATAAACCTATTTCTTAGGCCTTAGCAGCATTAGCTGTCCCTCAAGTCTAGGGTTTAATGTGTTCATTCTGGGACCCTATTTGGGGGCATGGTGGGTGGGTTGGGGAGGGATTGCCCCAATTAACATGTCCTAAAAGGCAACTAAATAGGCAGTTTGCTGAATTTGGATGTGTTGGGCTCAAAAAGACATAGAACGAAGCCTAACTGTAAACCACAACACAATATACCGACCTCCCTATTAAGGACAAACAAAATAAATCAGTTATTCACTCTAAATCCTTTGCAAATAGTACAGCCAAGTTAAGACTGTTTCCCCATATTTTAAATCTGTTGACATTTCAGCTTAAAGATTTTTACATTTTCTTTTTTAATTTTTTATTTCATGCATCATAATATCTAGTGAGTGAAAATAAACAGGGAACCAGACCTCCAGGGCGACCCAGGGTCCGCTGGGAAGACAACATACGACAGACCCTAACTGACAGAGGACTGGAATGGAACAAAGCCAAGAAGAAAACTGCTGATAGAGACGTTTGGCGATCTCTCTGGCAAACATTTACACCCCAAGGTAGAAGAGGAGCGACTAAGTAAGTAAGTAAGTAAGTAAGAGTGAAAATACTAAAGAAGTGTTTTCAATTAGGAAGTGGACCAAACTCAAGATAGTTTACCTAATGTTTGATATAAACTAGGCATGTGAAAGTTTTCAATTAACAACAAAAACCAACCCCTTTCAAAATACCTAGATTATTTTTTGAAACGCTCTTGCATAATTTAATTATAAGCTTATAAAACAAACAAAAAAGGTTATGTCAAAAATAGGAGTGACAATTCAGTGGGCAGTGTAGTCATACTTAGGCTTCTAACTACTCTTATACAAAATAGTTAATCATTTGTGTAAAACAGAAATACTCTTCTCTAAAAACAAAGGTTTCTGGTATGAATGCAATTTCACATTTTAATATTTAAAAGCATAAAATGTGGTACAATAATATAAAACATCTTCATATAAATGCCACTTTCAATATTTGCTTGGCTCAAGGCTTTTTATTACATTTACTGCTATTACAATGCATATCATGGTTAATATTAGGGTAGATCAGCTCCTTACAGTGTCAATTGTTGCTTCATAAATCTGAGTAAAAAAGTGCTTTATTAATATCCTTCCCCAATCAGGGGAAATCCACAGATCGAGACAGTCTAATATTTCAGGGGGTGGTAGATAAGCAGCATGCAGTCGTGGGACTTAGGCTGTGTGCAGTCATAGAACCTAGGCTGCACTCTCTTGTGGGATGTAGGTGGGTTGGGGTTAGGGCCAGTTCTAGATGTTTTGGCGTCGTTAAAAGCATCACAAAGCATGAAAACCCAGTCTTACAACCCTCTAAAATGTTGGACTGTCCTGTGACGTCATCTGGTGTAGGATATTAATAAAGCACTCTTTTGTGTCATTAAACTTTTTTTTTTTAAACAGAGGAGGGAAAAAAAAAAGGAAACCTGAAAATACTATTCTCCCACAGCCTTACCACACCTCAACAAAATGTTCACTCTAGACTGGAAGAGAAAGATCATTATATTACAGTAAAATCAACTAATGTGACATTGCAAATATAACGGCTAACTGGCTGGCTGGTTATAATTTCTCTGGAAGACACCCGGTAGAAGGACCCCTCTCATGTAGTACAACAGGATACTTCACCACCTGAAAACTTCGACAGAAAGTTTTGGTTGTTGTCAACTTCTGTACTGTTCCAAAACTTGAGTTTTGGGGGCACAGTCTTTTTACAGATCTGATATTTTTGTGTGCAGCTTGTTGGTTCCCTGCCTCAGGTAGATTTACTCTCACTTCAAAGGAAACATCCCTAATTAGTTACCTTTTACAATATGCTTCTTAGGGAGGCAGTGAGTCTTTTATTTTCCCCCCAAAACTGGGGTTCAGAACCCACAAGAAGAAGAAAGTAAACTATCAAATAGGACAGCATGAGATAAGGTAACAACTATATGAGACAGAAAAGAAGGTATACTGTCTTTGGATTAATCAATGATCATGAGTTTCAAGGGAGTCCCTGTGGCGAAGCGGCTGATCGAATTGTCGTGGGTTTGCTCCCTTGCGGAGCTGGACTTTTTTACAAAAATTACCTTGGTTCCTAGGTCGACCCAGCCTTGAGTGGATAAGGGGGTTTTATCACAGGAAGTAGAGGCGGCCGGCGTGATGCTGACCACATTACCCATCTTGTGCCGATAGGTCTATAAAAGTATAGGTCTAGCCCTATATACCTAAGGGCGTGAAAAAAGATCATTTACTAACTTTTTTTTTTTAACTTACAGGTGAGATTCATGATACAGAAAGAGGACAGATCTCAGCTAAAAAAAAAAAAAAACATCATAGTAGAAGATTTTCATTATTAAATACTTATTATAATTATTATATACAGTTTTGTTAAGCAAAGGAGATGAAGGTAAAAAAAAAACAGTAACTGACAACTTATTAAGACTAAACACCAGTTTATAAAATAATGTCTATACATCATAAACGTTATTTGAGATGCATGTCTGTTTACACATTTCTCTAGTCACACACAAATATGTGCATTACATAGGATCATAAAGTATCAACAGTTATAGGGCAGAAGATGGCAGCATACTGGAGACATTCTGAGAAGAGACAGGCAGGGAATCAGCAAACAAGCACTGAGAAAGGGACTGCAGACATGAGGACTTCCAAGAGATCCCTAAGTTAAACACTGACAAGCTAATGCTGCTGGACTTGACCCCATCCATGATATCAAAGTAAATGCACAGGATAGAGCAGAATCTAGATAGACTGCAAGCATGATGTAGTACATAATGGCACAGCAGGACAATGAATGAATAAAGATGACATCATAAGAGACATTTCACTGTGAATTCACATGGCAGGAAAAAAACTTGTCGCCTGCAAACTTTTCTGCAAAAATATGTAATTCTTAAATGTTCAGCAAATGCTTGTTTTCATGCATGCATATCCAAATTACAGTCAGATAATTTTATATTTTGTTAGTAGTGAATCAAACTGTGTGTGTTACTGGGGGAAACAACAAACCACCAAAATGCATCCTACCAGACATGTCGTGAGAGGTGATTATTGATAGACTTAGACTTGACTACCTCATCCAGGAAAGCTTTACAGCCAAAAACCCAATCGTGGACAAGTTAAATAAATAGAGAATACAAAAATGGGTTTGAAAGATGGGAAGGACATGAGTGGACACAATGGGAAAGGATAGGATGACTTGGTGATATTTTTCAGAGGGCACTGCACCAGCAGATAAAGGGCAGAAATACTGATCTGTCTATATTATGCTTTATATCTGTTACTGATATATTCACAATACACTAACAAGAGAATTACACACACACACACACAACATAAATATATAATTATCAGTGACTACTGACTGTTTAACCCTCTTAGCACGGACGGGCCGATTATCGGCCGGCGGATGTCTTGCCAAAAACACGGAACGGCCGATGATCGGCCCGATCGTGTTTCGCCTCGAACCGCTAAGAAATCTCCTACTTTGAAACACTGAAAGTGATTCATTTATATTAACTGCGGTATCAGCTTTACACATGGCGACTTTCGAGTGTTTGGTATCGAAGTGAAAATTGTTGTTGAATTTTTTAGATAGTCACCTGAACCGCTAAAAGTATGTCTGACTCGTATGTTTCTGCCCCTAAACTTGATGTTGATAAAACATTTGAATCAAGTGTTGACACTAATTCTGTTGATACTGATGCAGGATTTAGTGTTAGTAGTTATAGTGGGAATCAGATGGCGACACTGTTGTGTTCAGACCACAGCCCAACCATGGCTCAGGGTATATCCACCCGAAGGTGTTGACACTCCGGCACATCCATTTATAGTGCTGACTGATGGTGAAAAACACATGTCACCTAAAGATATTATTGCTGTTTCACATATATATATATACCTGTTTTTTACTATTGAATTGCTTACAACATTTGTAAAAAGGCCAAAGATCAATAAAAAGATTTCAAATAAAAAAAATTTTTGTTTTTAGTTTTATGTTTCAAGCATTGAAGTTGAAAATTCAAATTCATATTTTCTATTTTTAGATATGCAAATGAGATAATTTGCATATGCATCAATTAATTTTAACGATATTGTGTAAATCACGAACTTCAATCTATATCCTTCAAATAGATACATTATTTCATAGGGGTCAGAATAACAGAAATCTGTCAAAAAAATTAAATAAAGTAATAACCAAATTCACTGAAAAAATGCTCCGTGTTTTTGGCTAGACCTTTGAAAAACTTCCCGTGCTAAAAGGGTTAATGATGTACAGTAGCAGTACAAACAGATATATAATATACAATACATTTATCCCCTTATAACTCCTGCAAACTGCAGATTTCAAAACTGTAACATGTAAACATGTTTTTCAAAAAAGTTATTTTATCATATGAAAGGATCCTTGCTAGCCAAAAATAAAATTGTTGTTTGTTAAAAATGCTTCAACTATTTTTATTACGAATACTGTGACTGACTAGTGCCCATTCGTAGTTGTAAAATCTTAAACATATGAAAACTAAAAAAGGTTACAAAATCAGTTGACCCGTTACTGAAAAAAGTAAACAGAAAAGGTTGATAATGGATAAAATAATGAATAATAAATAATCAAATGATTTCGCGTGGAGGGTAGGGGGTGGGAGACAATCATTTATTCAGAACAGCAGAAAAACAACTTGAAAGCTTCGAATCGAACACCTAAAGCTAATCTATTCCTACCTCTTCTGTGTCCTTTGGATAGGCTTTCTTCGACCATATTATACTTCCTATAATCCGTTTACGTTTCTTGCCTAACACCATATCTGTTGGAGGTGATAATCAGCATCTGCGAGAGATAAATCCCTGCCCTGAGTCCATCAACATCAACTTGTCACAAACAAAACTCCCTTCTGCCTGAAAGGTGCCCGTGTTTTTATTCAGTTGCGCGCCGTTTCTTTTGCGATCAACAACAAACATAAATATTGTTGACATGATATTTATCTCAGTTGTTTAACATTAACTTGCTATCCATGCTAGTTTAATATATATATATCGGTAAAATGATACTAAAGAATATAGTAGGAAAAAAAATCAAAAATGATAAATTATTTTGTATAAACAAGATGACACCGGCCAAATTGGCAACTGTCTTTTTTGTGGTCCGTGTCCTAACCTTCACCTTTCCAACAGGAAGATAGGCCCGAAGTGAACAATTGTAATATTATTACTGTAAAATAAATAACCACACTTCTAAAATTATGTTTGTACATCATAACATAGAAATTATCTCTGTAACGAAATAAACCTTTAGTATCAAGACAATGTTTTTTTTTTTATTTTAAAAAGAGACAATTTCGTCATGTTGTCGCCCAGCCCGTACGAAATAGCCAGGTTGCCTATAATCCCTATATAACCTGCCGTTGTGTACAATAATCATGCTTGTGTTGTGCACTTGTGTATATTCTGTCATGGCTAGCAACATATACCTTTAAGCGTTGGTCATTAAAAGGGTGGTTGACACATTGTGTTGTGGCTTACATAGAGGCTGCGATATTTACGCCTTGGGCCCAATTCATGATAAGATTTCAGCAGAAGTGTGCTTAATTAGTAGCCAAATTCAACATGCTTGTTAAAAGGCAGTAGTAATATCCATCAATCAAGCCCCCGCCTCCCCCTTACCCACCCACACACACAGGGAGAGAGACATGCTTGCGCATACGCACACAGCCCCAACGAGACATGGGAACTCATATAGTGAGTAAGATAAGACTAAATATTGGTGTGTGCGTGTTTCAAAATCGAAATCGGAGTGCGTCTGCCAGAGAGGCGAGGAACCGAAAGTCTGCATACGAATAAGCCAGTTCTGTAAAACGGATATGCACACTAAACTCTGGATCTATGACAAGATTAAAGTCCAGAAGTAGACGAACAACCACAAGTTTACAGCCGATGAACGCTAAAAAAAAAAGACGTCTCCAAATATCCTCATCGCGTACACCAACATGACACCAATGTGAACGGCAGGCGAACGTCAAGCCACTATCATACAGCAGTTCCCCTAACATGTGGCCACGGCGCAACCAACATTTTCTGCTGTACGTGTTTTGTACTTCCCAGGACATATCCGATACCCATTGTAGTCTGTGTCGACCTTATACTTTCTGAATTCGTTCCAGCTCTTTTGATTATAACAAACACTACGTGTACAAAACGATTGTTCCCATAAGAAATAAATGAAGAATGATTCAACAGTTCACTTGGGGAACAAATCTTTTGTGTGTGTGTGGACGTATTATACATTCGTGTGTTGCATAAGATAATTTAAACTCTGATTAATTTTAGAATCTATGAATACAAAAGTAATTAAAAGAAATAAATGAAAAAATAACGATTTTTCTTACTTGGACCTGATTGGGGCTCATCAGGTTTGCATTTATTAAAAAGGTGTGCAAAACAAAATTTGCCTTTGCCTTCTCCTCAGGGATGTTTCGGAAATGTGACATTGTCTGGTCTTGTTTGGGCTTTGTGAAGGTAATACTTCTCTGCAAAGTTTTTGATACCCATCTATTTTCATGATTTTTGAAGTAGGGACTTTCTCAATCTGCTCCTCTCAGCCTGACGAGAGCACATCCATTTCTAAGTCCTGACTCATTTTTACTCATACATGTTCTAGCACGCGAGTCGTATTCTAAACGAAGATCGTTCACAGAACAAAAAAGGTTGCATCTAAACCGGACGTATGCCAAGTTGGACTTAGAAAGCGGATGTATACAGGCAGATCGTGCGGTAGATTTTCTCAGTAAGTATTTGAAATAGTAAAAAAAAAAAAAAAAAAAAAAAAGTAAAGATCCCCTTTTATGCCCTAGGCGCATCGGGCATATGGGAAGAATATCCCATATTTTTACAGACCAATCGGCACTAGGTGGGTAATGTGGTCAGCATTACACCGACCGTCTTTACTTCCACAGGACAGCCATCCTGGTACCCACTTTAGGCTGGTTCGACCTGCGACGCCCCGCACCATGATAAAAATCCACGCAGCCTGCAGTGGGTTTCGATCGTGGTACTATGGAATTACGAGTCGGACTCGCAACGCCTAAGCCACGTACGCTGCAGTATTTGAAATGCCGCCTCTTAAATGTTTCTAAAATGCCGCCTGATGCGGTCACTTCCCAGCATCATAGAATGGCAAAGCCCTGTAAATCGTGCTACCTCTGTAGATTACATTTAAAGCAAAATGTTTTGCAGCCTCAAAATGTCAAAAGAGAGATCATTTGTGACAAATAACTTTTATATCATCAACATATGTTGTCTCCCCTAGAACACTGACATATGTATTGTTTTAACGGTCTGTACCAGTGGTCTCCAACCTTTTTCAGCCCCACCCCCTCCCTTTCTGATTATACAGCAACAAGACCTCCTACGCCTCTTGAGTATATGGAAAAGACCCCCCCCCCCCCTTTAATCCCCCCTCCCCCCACATAACAAAATGTGGTTGAAGAAAGGACAACAGATTTCGCAACAACAAAAACAGACAGAATGGAAGTACGTTTTTGTAAGATTGTGATTGAAATACATAATTAAATGCCTGCGTTATCATATTAGAATTTTAACTATAGATATACAAACTATTTATGAAAATAAAAAAAGTCTGCTTTTTTGTTTTATAAATATTTTATTATTTTGTTTATGAATGAACTGAAACAAAAATCAATATAACGGATAATTATAGATGCACCCAGTCTGAAAATTGCTTGACGCTCCCCTTTAAGACTCTTACCCCCCACCCCGGGTGAGGGAGAAAATTCGTGGGGGGGGGGGGGAGGTTTCCAGAGACTGTGGGTGATACTTACCACTTTGTGAGGTCAGGGTAGGATAAAACAGCCCTGAACTGGTGACAAGAGGTTTATACTTACCATAATGTGAGGTTGGGGTAGGACAGAAGAGTCCAGAACCGGAGACCAGTGGTTTATACTTACCATAATGTGATGTCAAGGTAGGACAAAAGAGTCCTAAACCGGAGACCAGAGGTTTATACTTACCACACAGTGAGGTTGGGGTAGGACAGAAGAGTCCTGAACCAGAGACCAGTGGTTTATGCTTACAACAATGTGAGGTCAAGGTAGGACAAGAAGGTCCTGAACCAGAGACCAGTGGCTTATGCTAACCACAATGTGAGGTCAAGGTATGACAAGAAGGTCCTGAACCAGAGACCAGTGGCTTATGCTTACAGCAATGTGAGGTCAAGGTAGGACAAAAGAGTCCTGAACCAGAGACCAGTGGTTTATGCTTACCACAATGTGATGTCAGGGTAGGACAAGAAGATCCTGAACCAGAGACCAGTGGCTTATGCTTACCACAATGTGAGGTCAGGGTAGGACAAGAAGGTCCTGAACCAGAGACCAGTGGCTTATGCTTACCACAATGTGAGGTCAGGGTAGGACAAGAAGGTCCTGAACCAGAGACCAATGGCTTATGCTTACCACAATGTGAGGTCAGGGTAGGACAAGAAGGTCCTGAACCAGAGACCAGTGGCTTATGCTTACAACAATGTGAGGTCAGGGTAGGACAAGAAGGTCCTGAACCAGAGACCAGTGGCTTATGCTTACAACAATGTGAGGTCAAGGTAGGACAAGAAGGTCCTGAACCAGAGACCAGTGGTTTATGCTTACAACAATGTGAGGTCAGGGTAGGACAAGAAGGTCCTGAACCAGAGACCAGTGGCTTATGCTTACAACAATGTGAGGTCAAGGTAGGACAAGAAGTTCCTGAACCAGAGACCAGTGGTTTATGCTTACAGCAATGTGAGGTCGGGGTAGGACAAAAGAGTCTAAACCTGATCATTCAAGGCTGTGTGGTCAGTACAGTCAACACGAACTGAGAAAGTTAGCATGCTTTATTCTTACACACTTCTTTAGATGTATAATAAAAGTAAAACCACACAAAAATTTTTTTTTTAAAGTAAAGTAAGGAACCTTTCAAACAATTGGCGCATAGGACATTTTGTATAAGATCACTAACTGTATAAAAGAATCAGCTGTCAGTGGGTAATGTGTTCAACATCACATCAACCGCATTTTCCCCATTTCCTGATGTTTGTTTCAGGCTGGGTCAACCTGCGAGATTAGATTAATTCTGAAAAATCCACTTCGGATCTGCTTGGATTCCAGGAACAGCGGAAGTGTAATGGCTAGCTGCTCGCCTGCAGACCCGATGGTTTTGGGTTCCAATCTGCATCGCCATGAATTTTGTCCCCTTCAAAATTGACCCTGTCTTCAATGTTGACCTAGCCTAAACAGGGTACCAGATAATATTCTGTGAAGTCAGGGTGGCCCACAGCTCCCACCACTATGGAAACATTTGTCTTTAAAAACGTGAGTACAGCATTATAAATTCGACGAGTCACTTCATGCGAAAAGGGTCCTTCATTTACTTTTACGTTTTCATATGTTTCTCCGAGAGCTGCCTTATGTGTGTTTCTGTCAGTAGATGATAACCAGGAGAACGAGGCAGAGGCCTATCTTTGCCAAGGCTTATACAGGACAGTCAAGATGCATTGGCTCTGAAAGCATATAGGACGGGAAAATTGGTTAGAGAAAGAGAGACTTTCAGGTGCCCCAGGAAGAAAGCGACGTTCTTAAAGGACATGCTGATTGATTGACTGAGATGATATTCTTTGCATTTTACTCAACCCAAAAAATTTACCATGTTGTAGCTTTAATTGTATAAGTATTCTTACGTCTTGAAGGAGTATAATTAGGGTAATTTGCTACAGTTAAAATCGTCTCAGCTCTGATATTTTAGACTGTAACTCATGCTAC